ATGATAGAATCAATCATGATAATATAATGAATTAGTATAATGAATTTGGATTAAATCAAATCAATTTGATTAGTCAAACTCCAAGAAAGAGAGGGCGGCCATATGTTTCCAAATTGGATTAAATAAATTTTTGAAAGATTTGGAATAAAGATATTTAATTCAATTTTTGAATAACATGAATTATGCAAAGATATGATGAAATAAATACATTAAAGGCAAAATCATCGAAAAAATTAAAGATGTAGTCGGCTCATGCATGGATTAAGGCATTTAATGATTTATGCAAATTTAAAAAATTTTAAACAATATGAATTTTGAATTTTGAAAGAAATTGAATTAATTAAAATCAATTTTTTTATGAAAATTATTTAACTAAAATATTTTCTCGAATTAATTTTAATTTGCTACTAAATATTCAGGTCATAATTAGGTTAACTGCTTACATCATTATACAGTACGATGACGTATTGGATAGTAGGATTAATTTAATCTTTTATTTGACCTAATTAAATAAAAGAGCATATGGCAGCCACGAACTTTCCTTATTGATGATTGTCCAGTATGATGGATATCATACCGTACAATTTAATTTTATACTTCAATTTTGAATTTTCTAGTTACCAATATAACTTTATCTTACAACACCAAAAATATTATAAACATCACATTGTATGCTTAAATCATCTTACATCACGATCAAGATGTCTTGATTAACTATATTATGCAATTTTTCAATCAATTTATCTCAATTATATTTTCGTGCATATGTGCTTGATTATTTCACATCAATCATATCCTGACACATGCAAGAAGACACGATTCAAAAATAAAATTACAAATATTGGATTATTCAGTAGTCGCCTTTGTCTTGATGACTTTAGATTTCACTTAGACACTTTCTTATGCTAAATGCATCTTATTTAGCATGTGATTGTCATCATATTCTTAAGTCCAATCTTAAATTGGCCTTCATATAATATATACATATAATTTTTAGTATAACCAAAAAGCCAGCACACAAAATCCTTAGCCAAAAATCAACATAATCAATAAATTTTGTGAAATCTCATATAAGCTTTCAGGCTCACAAGATTCAACAACTTCCTCCACAAAATCTTAATCAAATCAATCCAATATCAATCCTTATCTTTGATTTAAAATTTCATTTGAAATTGAAATTGAAATCATAGCCCCCTCATTTTTTCTTTAATTTTCTATAGTTAATAAGTTATACTAAATCAAACCACATTAAGGTAACCATCTACTCAACCTTATCCTATCCTAAAACTCCTTGATTTCTTCTATTAAAATAGCAAAACAACATCAAAAGTTTTATCCTAATCCTATTCAAAACCAACCCTACCCAACCCCAAAACCACCACCACTTACAAGTCAAAGATTAAAACCTAATCACCTTAATGAACTCCAAATTCAAAATTAAATTCCAAATCTAATGGCCACCTCTTTAGAGCAACTAGATTTCTCCATTTCTCTTCCCCAAAGTATAAATCATTTCACTCACATCATAAGGTAGATAAATAGTATCATTCCATGTGATCGCATTCCATGCTAACTATAACTTCTCTCTATCATAAGTATTTAGTATCACATTAGCCTTCTCTAACTACTCAAATTCATTTAGATGCCCAAATCCCAGTTTGAATCAATACAACCAAGTTTCAATCCAATACAAACTACCAAACCGATTACAACAACGAATCATAAAAAAGCAAACAAACCACCATAAACCTAAATGAGAAGATAGGCTCAGCATTGCATAATAAGAGGATCAACTTAGTTCAAACTATCACTATGCATGAAAAACTTCAAACCAACTAGTATTATTAAAAGCACTTTTTTAAGGACAAAGCAAAGATAAGTGCTAGCCCTGCAGATAGCTTGCTTGTGAAGTGTAAGCTAATAGCAAAGCACACGTGTTGCAATGCTTCACTGCATGGCATCATAATGCTACGCACTTGGCTCCTGCTCAATGTCAAATCCTATTTCATATTTCAAGGTTTGATTCAACATCAACCACAATAAATAGGCACAATAGTTTGTTTCATCTCACTACTCATTTGCATTGCTCATTAATTCTCAGTTCTCTTCCATTGGAGCTAATTTATTCTTGGTGGTTATTCTCTTCATATTGACTCTCCTACTTGATTTTATATGCTTTTCACTAAGTTTTGTTGTTGACGCTAGTAACTTTGCTCACAAGCTTCTTCTCAAGAATATTTTTTGAAGATACATCTTTGCACTATCTCTTGCTTCACATTGCCTCCATCAATCGATCTTTAGTTGGCCATTATTTATGTACTCTTACATAACTTCATTATTTATATTATTTATATATTTGATTTTTTTTTACTTTCCAATAACTATAAATCACTATCATTGAACCAATGTTTAAAATTGCGTATTCGGGTATTGAGGCGTTTTTCATTCGTGAGGCGAGGCGTAAGCCTCAAGGCGTTTTGAGGCGTAAGCCTCAAAATCAAAAGATTGCGTAAACATAAAATAAAAAAAAATTTATATACTAATGAGTGAATAAAATAAAACATAAAAAAGCATAAGATATGAATTGAAATCAAAACATCCCAATAATAAGACAACATGAAATATAGTTCAACTCAAAATTCTATCTTTCCCACATCCAGTATTCTTTTCATTAACATATAATTCTAATTTCCAAAAACAAATAGCAATGACATATCACATAAGAACTCATAAGTCATCAACACTGTCATCACTAAGGGGTTCTTCATTTGAATCATCATTATGATAAACTGCTCTCTCCCCTTCCTCCTCTCCTATAGAGTCCAATGTCGGGCATTTACTTCAAGATTTATGTAAGTTTTAATATATATAGCGTGAGGTGTAAACCTCGTGCCAGTGAGGCGAGGCGGGCCTCAACCAAGTTGAGGCGCAAGCCTCATAAAAAAAACTCGAGGCGTAAGCATTGAGGCGTTTTTTACTGGAATTGCACAAAGGCGGGCCTCAAGGCGAGCCTCATATTGCGCAATTTTAAACCATGCATTGAACATTTCATTATATTTGCTAAAAAGTTATTATCTAATGTGGTTTAAATTTGGTTAATTATATATATAACTCATGAATATTGTAGTCAGTAAAAGTGTCACTTCACTTTGCACTTTGCACGTTAAAGCAAAAACAAATACCCTTGCACATCGCATTACGCTTACCACTAATACTGAAACTAAAAGAGAATATATTCAATAATTGATTGATTGTATATAAAAGAATCAATATCAATATTTCTACAAATGGAATTATACTTATTTTTAGTGGTTAATATATCATATGACTTTTAGTATTACATTAGTATTTTCTAATCTATCAATAGTAGTTTTGACATCTAAATAAAGCACGTTAATATAAATAGTGTCTAGGTCATGTAATTCAATTGATGGCAAATGAAATAATTTAAGTTCTAGCTCCATAATATTTTAGCCCCTTTAAGAATAAATAAGGATTTGTGCCTCCTCTATTATTTAAGGATTTAGAATTTGTTTAAGGATTCAAAAACCTAATGCTTTAAGAACTCAGCATCAAAAGTTTGAGAATAGTTTTATCTCTAACCTACTCTCTACCCCCTCCCCAACCTTTTTTTACCTTCTTCCTCTAAATTCCCCCAATTTATCCAATATTTCACAACTCCACTGAAATGGTCAACAGTTATCACTAGAAATTTCTATTCTACATCATTTTTTAAACTACCATGTGCATAAAAATAGATCCACAATTCCACATAGCTAAAATCCTCGTGACATACTATGTTATAAAAAAGAACCTTTAATACTATTTCTTAACATATCATGTGGCTAATGAAGGGAACATACAACAGCCTAGTCAAGAAGGGGAAAAACTAGAGACTTCTTTGTTCATATATTACATAATACACACTAACCATAATCAAAAAAGATATGCATGAGCATGCTTTTTATTTGACTTCTCCAAAAAGCTTATTTTTCTCAAATATTTTTTAATTCTATAAAATCTTTGCCAATGTTTCCGCTTAATGCCAACAAGGAAGACCTATAGGAAGGCTCCTCAAACAAAGAAGAATCGCAGACATACATTTCAATAAGAATATGGTTACCAATTATAAAAACATATATATTCTCAGCTTTTATGATGACTAAAAGGACATATTCAGCGCATGGAGTTCCTGCTAATCGGATTCTAGAGAGGGATTGTTTCTATGACTTGAAGTAGGACCTCCTCTGGATTACACTAGAGACAATTTACTCTAGGGCATCTCACATGTATGATGATTATACAGTTTAAATAAATAGAATGGGTCAGAAAATGCTCTTAATTCTCACTAAATAACTCTACTTCTCAACTTTGTGAAAATAACCAAAATTCTTAAGCATTGTCAACAATCTAGGCAATATGCTTAACCATGCACAATGAGGGCGTGTAAATGAAAAGTGGGATTTAAAGTGAGGATAGTTGATGGCTCAAATTTGGACCTCCAGCGTGTCTTAGATGTACTGAAATACAGAGATTTCATCTGACCAAACACTTTACAATCTAGATACAGTGTCATCTTTTACTAAAATACAGTGAAACAAACAAACAGTATTTGGCAAATAACATAGGCATCTAACAACATTAGCATTTAGAAAACACTAAACCAAAAAAAAAACCTTTTAATGTCCTATCTCTCTTTTTGATTATAACCATTCACTGCAAAAGTATTTACAGTTGATTTCAACCTAATAAATAACATTTAATCTTTGAAAATGAACATAATTTATGTTACAAAGATAGAATAGTTGAAGGAACGAAAATGTTTCAACAATATAACAGGTAAAATAGCAACTGGATTCACATAAAATGCTGACAGTTCCCAAATTAAAGTGAATGGGGTTAGGGTTTCAACGAAAACAAAGAACATTGAAGACCCAAAAATCCAATCTCATAATACTCTGAATAAGGCTCGAAGGGGTATCAACGATAGTGATGTCTACCTGCCAACGTGATGAAGCCGCCAATGAGCCGCAAAGCAATGGCTGCTATGATCTGCAAATTCATCCTATACCTGGGAACAGTTTTGTAGCGGAATTTGAGCAGTATTTAAGAAGGATTTAACGCAAATCCTGCTAAACAGCCAAAATACAACTTTAAATCCTGAAGAATGTTAATCCCGCTTCTCCTCCGTTTTGCCTAAAACCCCGGAGGGGATTGGACGGATTTAACAAAGTACCACGAACTCCTATTCTTCTTCACACACCACTGGTCCCGTCGATGCCTTCTCCAGCGAGATACCGTCCGACTTCATGGCTCCTTTGTCGTCCACAAGGGCTTTGGGAATTTCGGGGACGGGGGCTTGGGCGAGAGGTTTGGACTTTAAAATTATTAATAAGATTTTATATTAATTAAATTAGGTTTATTATTTAAATTTTTTAATTGATTTTAATATCTAATATTAATTAATAAAAATAACTAATTTTAATGAATTATTATTATTTAAAACTAAATAGAAATTTATATATTTATTTATTTTTATAAAGTATTATTTAATAATTAATTTAAAATTTAATTTATATTAATTGTAACTCCATTAACATAACTTTAATTGATAAAAAATTTAGTGATTAAGTTATTAATCTTCAATAAAAATTAAATATATGTCAATTAAAAAATTAAATTAATATTAACTGATTAAAAAAGATGAAGAATTCTACCATCAAAATATTTTCTATCCAAATTTATATTCCCATCAATAACATATCATTTTTCTTGATAATCATTATTGTTACCAATACATAAAATTATTCAGATTTCGATATATTAAAATGAGATGGAATTTCTTGGTCCTCGTTTCTTTCTAATGTTGATCCATAAATGTATAAATTAGGAAGGTTTATATAATTCTATGAGAAAATATCATATATGTAATATTTTTTTTCCATTTGCATGTTTGACTCATAAATGAATTCGCCGCATATTCTATTATCTTATATTAATGTCTATTTGTTTTTATTTTTTTTAATTTATTTAGAAAAAAAGTTATTATATAATTAGCTTAATAAGTTAATGATCAGTTATTAATTGAAATATTTAATTAGATTTGTTGTGCCCTGAAATATTCACGGTGGTAGAGTATGTTTAGTGTATTTGCTTTATACGAAGATCTAGCACGTATATAGATAAAAGTAAGGGTGTAGAATTCATAGGGGACACCGGATTTTTTACATGGAAACTCCTAAAAATGGGGAAAAATCATAGGGCATTCCTCAGTTTAAATGAATCCACTAGTATTTGCAGTTGATTATAAATGAGACCCTTTCTTGTGGGGAAGACCTTGGCTCGATGTAGCAAATATACATCATATTGGTGGGAATTATAAGAAAAACTGTTGACATGTTCGTTTGTTTAACATGACCATAATCGACGCGCCAAATAGGTTGGAAGGACTATAGTCAGACGATGGCGGTCGAAAGGACCGTAGTCGAACGATAGAGGTCGGAAGGATCATAGTTGGGTGACGACGTTTGGGGAGACCGTAGTCGGCTGGTTGAGTGCATTATTTGGATGTCATAAAGATAACTTGGCTTGAGCTAACACTTTTTTACATAAATTCTATGCATTTTAATTTACTAGCATTTTAGTTATAAATTAGAAGATAGTATTACATGTTATGTACACTCATGACAATATACATTACTCAAAGGAAGTTTAAAATTTAAGCTAATGAATATATTGAGACACTGAAAATTAGCTTGTACAAATTTCATGAAAAGAACTTCAAGAATTCAAAAGTATATATATATATATATAGTCTTGTATCATTGTATTTCAAGTATAGAAATTATAAATATAACCATCACACACACATAAAAGATAAAATCTAATCTTAATTTATCATACCATTCGTACTAACTCAAATCATACTATACTATTATAGTCAATTTAAAATTAAATTTGAGGAAATAATTTGTTAAGTTGAGAGGGTTGAATATTAATGAAAATTGATATTTACCTCATACACATTATACATCATAATGTATGATTTATCTAATTTTGACATAATTACAACAAGAATTGCATGAAGTGCATCATAATATATAATCAATGTCATTCTTCTTAACTAATATTTTAAGTTCTCTTAATGAGGTTATATATATATGTGTGTGTGTGTGTGTGTGTGTGATAATTTTTTTTAATTAATCTAATCAACTAAATTAATGGGATGATTTAATACAATTCTACTTAAATAGATCATATCATATAATTGGGACCATATTTTATGATTAAACAGTACTCAATTTATAATAAAAATTTGATTTTTATTTCATTTTGGGCATCAGAACTCTACACATGAGAGAGAGGTCTTTTTACTATAAACTTAGGGAGCCATCACTTATACTCTTGAGAGAGCGAGAAAGAGAGAGAGAGAGAATATAGTAAGAGAAAAATATAATAGCACACATTAACTAGTTATCATTTTCCTTTCTACACATTATGTTTCTCATGGTTGACCGCCAGAAACGGCCCGCCGGAAATCGTTTCCTACGCCGTTTATACCTGTGGTTTACTAACCGCCAGTATTTTATGAAACCGTCGGTAATTCCTGATTTTCCTGTAGTGATTGTGAATCTCAAAAGCTCTAGTAAACTTTTTGTGACAAGTTAATGGGCTAGAGAAGGATTCTTTTTTGTTGAAGTAGAAGAGGGTGTAGGGTTTCTCCATTACACATTAAGAAGAAGAAGCTTATTTGCTTTGTGGCAGCAAAATGCGAGGGAAGTGAAAATCTCAAGAGGTCTTGGGGATTGTGTCGAACCTTGATACATTGTTTGTATTTTACTTTCTACACTTTTACTATTGTCACTTACTTTGTGATGACGTAAAATATTTGGTGATCTAGTTGTTGCTTGCATATGAAATATGAGATTTTTGGTTGGCAAAATAAATTTTGCGAAAGTTACTTGATTAGTTAAAAGAAAAGTATATTCCTTTTGTATTTTGTTGGTTATTGTACTTCACTTTTAAATTATATTTTTTAAAAGAAAAATAAAAATTTTATTTTAAAATAATTTAAAAGCATCATAATTCAACCATTAATTAAAAAGCATAAAAATCCACCCCCCCCCCCCCCATTCTTATATTATTTGCATTTACTATAAAAAAGTTAGGTCATATCATATGTGATCACCTCAACCTCAATGATTTTAATTAAAAGTCTAACCCTATAAAAAAGTGATAACGAAAGGGGAAAAAAGAAATTCTAGAAGGCTTTTTGGATCAACTTAGATTCAAATTTTCAACAAGTGATTAAGAAGAAGTTGTTAGTAATTTATGCCTAATGGTGCATGATGAATATGGGGATTTAGACCCATATCATGTATATAGCAATTATTATGATGATTTACCTTCTAAGGTTGAGCAATTGTATGATAGTTTTAAATAATTCAATAAGATCATTGCAAGGTTAAAAAAAGGTATACATTGTGTTGTTGCTTGAGTTATACCAAGTAAAGAAGCAACTAAAAGAGAAGGAATCATAATGCATTAAACTTGAAAACAATACAACAAGTTATAAGAAGAGATTCCTGACATAGATCACTAAAGCAATACAACATGTTACAAGATTATTGTACTTAGTGTGATTATTAAAATTGATAATTAGATTAAGGGTACGTGCAATATTGGTCTTCTTCCTTTCCAAGTATACTCATAGATGACATGTTAAATATTATAAATTCTATCGCTTTTGTCAAATTGAGATGCATGATAGAAAGTGAAGTAAGCAAAATTTTAGAGAAAATTCACTTAGGAAACTGTTTGAGTTTCTCTAGAGGATGAATATTGACATACTTCCTATGGTAAAGATATTTTTTGCTCATATTAAGGTGTAGCACCCGTTATTCCAGTATTCGGGTAACCATTATAATTTAGAATGAATAATTGATTAATCTTTATGTCTTTAGCAATTATAAGCTCTATGGTGCTTAATTAGCCATACATAAGTTAAGAAATTGGAATGAGTGAAGATAAATTCGGACTCCCAAAATTGTTTTGGGGTAGCTGGGAATGGCACCGCCACCGTGCCAAGCTCTCAGTTTGAAATATTCCAAGCTCTCAGATTGAATTAAATATTTTGGGAATATCTGAAATACTCAGGTCAATACAGTGGCGTTGGAGAGGTTAGCGCTATGGCACGAGGCCAAAATGAGTGTTTTTATATATAAAAAAATATCTTAATCCATTTTCACCAACACCTCCTTCCATCTTGCTAGAGAAGAAAATATGAAAAGGGGAGGAGAAGACATGAAAGATAAACAAATAGAGATATTTTTTAGGGCAAACCACAAATTTTGCTCGTCGGGTCAGTTAGGGATTTCATTAAGCTTGAGGTAGGCTTCAGAATTTCTATCCCATATTTAAATTCTAGTGATTTTCAAATATGATTAAAAATGTGTTTTTTCCCAAATTTTATGACATTTTCACTATATAAATTTTAGTATGTTGTTGTATACTTTATTCTTAACATTTTTACCATAAAAAAAAAATCTATCAATTGATTTTCTTTATAAAGATTTTCATGTGTACTAGACAAATAAGACTTTTCTGATTTATGCAATATATAGTTTTATAGAAGGAATGAAATATTGTTCTGAGTATCCCTTTGAAATCTTAAGTGGATTGAAAAATATTTAGTGGGTAAACTTTTATACACATAATATGTAGTAGTAATGTAGGAAATTCTTATATTATATGCATCATCCAAATAATGTATTAAAGTCATAATCAATTATTATTGCATTTAAATTTCATAATTTATGGCATGGCATGACATTGGAGAAGTTTTTTTTTTTCTTTTTTTTTTTCTAAAAAAAATGAAAAGTACACTCTTTGAAATGTTACAAGAGCCCTATATATTTATTTTATTATAGACCTTGCTGCCTTGTATATGTGGAAATGGGAGGGATTCTAGCCCCACTTGTTAAAAGTGGGTGTAGGAGGTTATTCTGTTTTATTCTTATTCTGGCTCCACATGTTATATACATGTGGGGGAGTTTAAATGGAGTTAAAAGTGGAAATGGAGTTATAATCAAGCATAAGGACATATGCATTATATTCATGTATTACTTATTTTAATAGATTAATAAGTCAAGTATAGTTTATAATTTAATCTAGTTATGATAAGTTTTAAATATCTATATGAAATGAGAAAGTTAAGTGCAGGTGAAACTCTTATAATAAGTATTCTATGGCATCTCTAGAAATTATGGGAAATGAATTGTACAAATTTAAGTAGTATTTCTAAACCTAATTATAGTATGTTAACCCTAAGAAACCATATCTTGCCGACACTTTATTTATTATATTGTTATTA